GCCCCCTGATCCTCTGCAGCTCCTGCTTTCAACAGTTCCCAGCAAACTGTTGCCCTTTGCAATTAATTTGCTGTGACCCCCCCCCTTTCCCCAAGTGCTGAGGGAGGAGGTGTTGGTCTCTCCCGCTCCCATTTACGCTCTCAGCCAGGCGCCCAGCACCCCCACTTCATAATTAACGTGTCCCCCGCCCCGCACACTCATTTTTTTTTATTATATATTCATTTGATTTTAATCTGGTTCAAAAAAAAAAAAGAAGAAAAAAAAATGACTAATGAGGCTTAGGGTTGAGGTGAGAACTGCCTGGTTTGGAGTCGGGGGGGGGGTGGAGGCGGAGGGGGGCCTGGGGTGTGCGGTTGGCACCGTGTCCCTCCCGGCGGGGACGAGGTGGGGCTGGAAGAGGGGGAATTTCATGGGAAATGGTGGTTTTCCTGGCAAAATAAGAGGGGTTTGAGATTTTTTTTGCCCTTTTCTGCTTGAAAGGAAAAAAAAAAGGGGGCTTGTGCCGGGTGAAGGGCATGGTTAGTGCTTGTTGTGCGTCGCCTCGCCCGGGGAGGAGATGGGATGGATCTTGGGGGCTAATTATACCCCCCCTCTGGAAAACTGCATTTAGGGAGAGTGGTTCTGAGAGGGGTTTGGCTCAGAAAAAATGACTCTGAAAATACCCCTGGTGCCAACGGACCCACACTGATGCCTGCTGAGGGGTTCAGGGGTGCCCCCCACCCCCTATGTCCTTTTGGTCCCAAGGGTTGGTGTGCTTTTGTGGGGGGGCAGCTCTGCCCATCCCCCTGCCCCCGCAGACCTGGGCACAGGGTCTGACCCTGGGGTGCTTGGAGCATCCCCCCTCTTCCCATTCATGGGGGGTGTGTTGGAAAGGGCTGGGGGGGCTTTGGACTGCCCCCATGGCACCCTCACCCCGTGGTAAGGCACTGCCAGCTTCCCTCCTGCCTGGGCACTGGTTTGTAAGTCAGGGCTTCGTTTTCCTCTTAAAAAAAAGAAAAAAAAATCAAGGAAGTGCATGTACCGGAGCTGGCGGGGAGTTCCTGAGTCAGACTTCTCAACTTTACACCAAAGTATGTAGCAGAATATGTACAGCTGTTAATAACTACAACTGGTTTTTTGTAAAAAAGGGAGAAAAAAAAAAAAAAAGAAAAAAAAGGAAAAAAAAAAAGAATAAAAAGTAAATGTAATGAAGCTCAAATGAAAGCAAAGTGTCTATAAACCCTTTGATCTCTGATAAACCTGCACCGAGTTGTTAATAAAAGTGAGTGAGGGGCCCTTGGTGCTGCGTGGCAGGGCCGGGGGGGCACAGGGCACCCCTCGCAGGACCTACCCATGGGGATGATGATGGAGGTTGGCTGGAGGAAGAGCAAAGTGTGGGACTGGTGGGAGCAGCCCCCAGCCCTCATTTTCTCCCCCCTTGCTGTGGGGCTGGTGGCTGCTGCCGTGGGGCTGGCCTAGGATGCACTCCCCAATCTCCCCCAGGGGAAAGCGACCCCATGGGCACCCCCTTTTTCTTTTCTCATCCTAAAGACCCCCCCCAGCTGCTCTGTCTCTTATAAGGGCTTTTTTGCTTTTTTTTTTTTTCTTCCCCTAACATGCTTTTAGCTCAGGCTCGGCCGATGCTGGCAGACAGCGGGGCGAGAAGGCAGAGACCTCGCACTCCCTGGCACATGGGGAGGGAATTGCAGTGGGCACCAGGATTCCCTCAGGGGGGTCCTTGCCCGTCCCAAGGCTGTGACTTTTGGGTTGTGTTACCTGCTTTTCATGAGTCATTGCCTTCCATGAGCATCTCCTGCAATGGAGGGCTCCAGGGAGACGTGGAAGGGCTTTGATCCCAGCAGCTGCTGAGCATCAAAATGGAGCCATTATCCTTTGGGGTGCACCCTGTAGCTGTTACCCTTTGGGGTGCACCCTGCAGCTCTCACCCTTTGGGGTGCACCCTGCAGCCCTCACCCTATAGCCATGCCATCATTCTTGTAAAAACCACTGCAGTTGCTCCAAGGGAGCTACGTTTACGAGGCTTCCTTGCACCAAGCACACCT